ACAACTTAGGAACTTCCCTTTGGTCTTCCTGGGATTATACAACCATACCTTGTCTCCTGGTACAAAGCTGACTTCAGTAGATCTCTTATCATAAGATAACTTCATCGAATCAGCAGACGTTTTAAAGTTTGAATGCACTTGATGGTGAATATCATCCATACTTTCCGATAACACTTTTACAAACTCTGACACATTTTCAGGCAACTCTTCATAAGGTGGGCGTCCTCTTAACAGATCCACTGGCAACCGGAGTTCCCGACCAAACATTAACATTGCTCGAGTGTATCCAGTGGCTTCATGCTCTGATTTAATATCTATACCTGGTTCCATTTCACCATCATTCATTTAATAGAAGCGAACGAGACAGAGACCAGTATAGAAGAAGATACGTCCTATAAAATTAAGAAACTTTGTTGAATTTTAATTTTGTGTTTGTAAATTCTGTACATTTGATTAAGTTATTGTTAATTATCTATTGGTTTAATGTAAGTGGGCATTGTGCGGGAAGAACAATAATAGGGAAAGGGCAGTGTTACGACAGCTGAAGTCACGTGACGCTGGTAACACGTAATGAGTATCTAGAAGGTTCCTGAAAGCTCGAGTGTTTGCCAGACGCCCTCTATTTTGTATATATGAGACCGCGAGAAGTGACGGCATAGATAATTGCAGAGAGGCAGAGATAGAGACGGACAATCGAGTCAAGCCGTAAGTAAAGTGTGTAAATCGTTATGAATTATAGCATGTGCTTAAGTTAAAGTGACTGTGGAAATTCTGTGTATTGCAAAGTTATATTGAGGAAGAATAAACTAGTTTTATTTAAGAAGGAACTTGTATTGCTGAAGTTCCTCGGAAAAATTTCTTCGGGAAATTATCAAACAAGCACAGACGTAACAATATTGTTACGTCTCCGTTTGTTAATTAACTTTCCGCAACTTCATTCCGACGAAACTTTAGCGACACAAGTTCTTTACTTAATAAAACTGGTTTATTCTTTCCGAATACAACTTTACCGATACACTCAACTTCAACAATCGTGCTAAAACAAACGCTATATCAACGAACGTCAATAATACTTCTGACTGCAGATCAATTACACACTGTCTACACACATTACATTAACGCGTCACGTTGTCCCCTCTTATATATACCAGCCTACCCTATATCTAGTAAGAACTAGAACATTCGCCAAAGTACAGGATAATTCTAGAAAGTAGAGAGCGTGAGAATCACATGATCTCGATGACGCAACAATATTTTTATGATCTGAGTGTATGAATATTTTGCACCGGAAAAAGCTATTACATATCCTTTGCAAAAGCTGAACAATTTTTGGTGGCATCACACTATCTACAAAATGTAGTTCTGATGGTTGTCATGCAGCTCGCTGATTTATAAATTAAAAATTGTTTCAATATAACGCACGCAACAGTTGTCTTGTTGTTTTAGAACAAACTGAGCAGTATAAAATGCGAGTTAGGCTAGAGTAGATAGTTATAGATTTCTGAGTGTATTAGTAAGTTACATTGAACGTGAAGTAGCGCATAATTACTTGAATGAGTCTGCTAGTCAGTTAACGAGTAACAAATGAATGATTCAGTCAGTTAGTTTGTTTCTTTAAGACAGCTACTTATTGTTCAATGCTGTAACTTGTAAATTGTATTTGCTTAGTTTCTTGTGAACAGTAGTATGGTTGTAGTAAGTATATACTAAATACCTTGGTCATTTTTCCATAGTGTATATTATTACAACAGCGGAAGTCACGCGACGCTGGGAGCATGCGCGCTGGAGTTTCTAGAAAGATCGGGCGACCTCACGAATGTCCCAGCGTTTGCTAGACGCCCTCTTTTTTAGTATATAAGCCGGAAATAGATTGACGAGATATAGAGATAGATAATCGAGTCAAGAGAGCAGCAGGTGCCGTAAGTAAAGTGTGTGAATCGCTGTGAATTACAGCGTGTTTATAAAAGTTGTCAAGTTTAAAGTGACTGTGGAAATTCTGTGTATTGCAACGTTGTATCAAG